TATAATACTGAAAAAAAAAACAATATGGTCACAATTACATAGTAGATATTTTTAATTACTTCATGTGTCTATACGAGGAATGAGATCCATAGAAAAACAAGTGATTCACTGAAGATGTGTTAAAAGGATAACCATTATTCAAAACTTAGATAGGCGTGTCCGAAAAGGATACACACGTATCTTATGTATTTCTTTACCTCCCGCCGTGTAACTATAGTAACACTCAACATTGACAAAAACATTCATTTAAATTTAATATACTAACTTGACAAATAATATTGCCTAAAACATTAGAAAGAGTACTTCATTTCCTAGAAATGTAGACTAATGTATCATCATTTCTTTTAGCTTCGATGTGAAGCTGAGAAGGTATTGGTTTTACTATGATGTGTTTTTTTTTGTGTCTGTTACCACTTTTTCTTAGCTCTCATCGAACTGATTTCTTTCAACGATACGTCAAAAGATCACAAATCGTATCTAGTCGAAGACATTAACCTCAAAAATTGAAAAAATTTCCCTAGTTCCCCGTAAATGGTGGAAACCTCCAAAAAAATTACAAATTTAAAAATCGCTAATTTTCGAAATTTTCGAAATTTTTTTTACTAAAATGTGTCGTAATTTTTTCAAAAATGAACATATCAATATAATTTTTTTTTTTTATAGATGCTTGATGTCTTTACTTATTATTTGGTATATTTTTTTTTGTAAATCTGACACTTAACCTGCTCACAGGGGGGGATTTAAAATGACAACTTCTTCACAAAAAATAAAATTTTTCAACTTAACTTTTGAAAATGTTCCGGAAGATCTGACACTTTTATATATATCTTAAATTAAAGGTAATGTAATATACTTTAATATGGAAAAAAAAAAATTGACCTCTGGACTTGTCTTCGTGGTGAAAATGGCTACCGAATGCTATTTTTGTGTGAAAACTCTCGATTTTATATTTTACATTTTTTACTTTATTATGCTATAACTTATTGAAAAGTGTATGAATAAACACAATTTTTTTTTTGAGAAATAATATTTTTTAATAATACCGTTTTCATTAAACATGCTTTATCTTAATCAAGATATTAATAAGGAACTAGCAGATCATGTAGCTTTTGGAATAATCCACCAATTTTTTAAAATTAAACACTATCTAAAAATTTGCATCGAATCGTTTTTTTTTTTAATAGTGATTTTAATCACTGTCAGATGTTATTATACTTGATCCAACTATGCCACGTCACCACTGTACCTCAACCCTCCTGTGCTGGGTTTTTTTTTAATTTAATAATAAATTCTAGTGAGATATTTTAAACGGAATGTTGTAAATTTCTATACTTAAATTAGCTTTATGTGTTATAAATAATGCAAGATTCAATGAAAATGTGTACTATGTGTAAAAATTAAATATAAGATTTCAAATGTTAATCAAATGTAAAAAAAAATATTAAAAACAAAATCGAAATCAATTATACTTGAATATTTATTTATTAAAAATATATTTAATATTCATCGATAAGAATAAGTAAAATTTTAGGAATACTCCTCATTATTATATGATTAATTATCAATGCACCGATGCCACCAGGGACTAGCCACACCTAAAAAATGTAAGAAAATTATTTATATTGCTATTGTATAAAGTATTTTTTAGAAAAGGGAGAAAATACATTTAGTACCTTCAAAAATGGTATTCAAATTATGGCTACGTATCAATTTCAAAAAAATATTTTTAATATTTTATTATTGTGAGTCAACTGTTAATAAGATTTGCTTTAAATTTTGTATTAATTTGTTTTATTTCAGTTGATGCGTAGAAGCCATGCAAAGTTAAAACGGCTGAACAAATTAAATGTATAGTAGTTTAAACTATAATTTATTTTACGTGTATAAGAGCGATGGAATTGTTTTTGTGATTGAGTCACAGTATATAAAAGCTAAAAATAGAATACGTAATACATTATGACGGTTAGCATATAATTGTAATATTATATTATTACTTATAATATAAACATATAATATGATGTTATCATTTGTACATGTATGTCACATATTATGATTATAGAAGATCACCAAAACAAGGTTATCTCATATAAAATACAAAATATCCAGTTAATTATGGTAAAATCCAACCCAACACACAGGTTTCTTCACTCTCATTATAATTAACCAATTAGAATAGAAAGCCTCAGCTTCCTAGATCACGGTAGGGATCGTTGGGCTACCTTCTTCGGACTATAAAAAACCATTTTTCCCCGTCTAAACCAATTTTTTCGGCGATTTGTAAAACTATTTTACATTTAAGTGTTATGAGTCAGTTTTCGATCACACCTGTATTAATGGCATTAAATAAAGATGTTGACTAATAGATATTAGTTTTTTGTCCACACTTTGAAAATATAAAAAATTAGCTAAAACAGAAAATTTTAATGAGAGCTTTTGGCCAATAATGTTTTTTTTTGTCGTAATCGTTGAACATTGAGATTTGGTCATTGAGTTTTCCATTATACACTAAAATTAAATTGAACGTAAATTTGATTAAAAATTTGTGAGTTATAATTGTCTAATGTAATTCATAATATTGATTAAAAATTGAATTAAAAAGATATTTTAAGTAAAAAAAAAAATGAATTGTATGGCTTAAATTACAATTTATATTAAAACTGTTTAGGTTTAAAATAATTATATTATGATATAATTATATTCATAACAACAATTCATTTTATTAAAACTATATATAATTTATTTTTTCTAATTTAATATTATAATGACCGCGAAAAATATAATTACGGTGAAAAATTATTTAAAAAAACGTTAGCACAGTGGGGTCGAGGCACAGTGTAGACAAGACATAGATGGGACAAGTATAGATTATATCTGAANTAGATGTGACAAGTATAGATGATATCTGACAGTGATTAAAATCACTATCATAAGAAACGCATCGATGCAAATCTGTAGATAGTGTTTCATTTAGAGAAATTGGTGGATTATTCTAAAAGCAACATCAACTCTTATTTCTTTAATTATATCCTGATTAGTAGTTCTTTGATTTTAAAATATAATATATGAATAAATACTAATTATAATCATTAAATTTAGTATGAAATTGATATTCAATAATGTAATATTATAATTTAAACGGAGAAATTATAAAAATAATAAAGAAGTTGTATTTTGCTTTATATTTACGTGTATAAAAATTTTAAGGGCTTGATACAATAAATTTCAATAAAAACTGTTTGTTACTATAAATAAATGCACTGAACTACAAGGAACTTTCATCAGTAACAAAAATATACTTTTCTAAATGAAATTTTCGCGTTGTTTTCAAATTTGCAATTAGACTTTTTCTATCACTTCTAAGTTTTAATATTATTTAAATTAGTATTTACTTATAAAAAAATCAGATCGAAGCTAAAAAATTGGCTATTTAAGCTAACTCAAATTTAAAAATTACTTTTTCGACTTTAAAAAAGTAAAAAAAAATTAATAAGTTTAATTTCTTATGTCTTATGACCTTTATTTTATTTAACTTTGTTGAATATAATAAAATAAATATTAAAATTATTTTACATTAATTTTACAACTGTATTTTTTTTTATTACTATCATTTATCAAAAAATATTACAAAATTTATGACATTTTATAAATCATACAATTTGGTTTGTATAAATTTTTTACNTATGACATTTTATAAATCATACAATTTGGTTTGTATACATTTTTTATTAATTTTAATTGGCTTATTCTATAGCAACAACTGAAAAATTTATATTCTTGTTAAAATTTAAAATTAACTCCATTTAATTAACATAATAAATATTTGACAGAGTTAATAGCATACTTTCATCAAATTTGGATGGAATTTTGCGAAAATTCATTTGATTTAATTTATTTTATACCACTTTGAATTTTAATGATTCAGTTTATTTAGCAGATAGTACTAATAATATAACTTTTCAAGTATTAATTGATATGTTGTTTGATNACTTTTCAAGTATTAATTGATATGTTGTTTGATATGAATTAATTTCATTACACCTACTAAAAATGAAAATATGTAATTTTTAAAAGATTCTTTATAAAGAAAACCCTTGTGGTTTTAACATAGATGTACAATCTACTTTCACTTTCGAAATTCAATTATTTTAATATTGAATAAAAACATACTAATGGTTTAAATAAAGTAGGCTTATTCTCTACGAAAACATTCTAAAACATAATGTTTACGAGTTGAATGCAAAATCATGACAAAGTAATTAAACAACATGAAATTCACTTTTTATAATAAAAACAATATTTTTTAAGATTTATTAAAAGTTAAAATTTTTTTTTTTTTTAATAATATTCCTAATTCGTTAACTTTCTAAAGCAAAATTTAGTGTAAAAAAACTATAAAAGTAAAATATTTGAAAAATTCCCTTAAATTAATTAGAATTCATATTACCATGAAAAAAAATAAACAAATATCTTTTACTAGGTGTTTATTATACTAAAATTAGATTTAATGAATTGATTATTTTCTAATTTGAAAAGCTTGTTTTATTCAAAGTTTAGATTAGTACTGCATAATTTAAAGCCTCGATCAAACTGCATGTTTGTTGTAAAATAAATAATTAATGAATAAAAAAATTTTTTTTTACTTAGTTGTTATTTTAGAACACTTTTTTGGCTCCTTAAAAAAGTGATGTTGGCCAAAAAGAATACTTTTTTATTTTTTTTGCCGCTTTATGACAAAATTTTTCATATAAAAGGAGTGGAACACTTTCAGAATGTAACCTTTTTTAGATTAAATATAAATGTGAAAANCTTTTTTAGATTAAATATAAACGTGAAAATTTTCGTTATTCTAACTTCATACTAAGTGCTTAAATTTTTTTTAATTAAATACATCAAGAACATCGCTTGCTACCAGTATGCAGTCAAAGGACATGTGGAAAATTTACCATCTCGTATTTTGGTGTGGAATTTATTTCATTACAGAAAATGACTTCATCAGAACAATGGCAATGTATTGTGCTGTTGTCATAACACTGTTGAAACTTATTGATCATTGTACACTTTTTGAGAAAACGGAAACAAAAGTCATACAAATTAATGAACTGAACGCTAAAGATGATAAACTACCATCGCCATGTTCTCCGCATTCAACTGTCCCTCCAACAAATATTCCCTGTATATTTTCTTCGTCAAAGAAATACGGGCATTTTTTCCAGCCATTAATAAGTGCTGAATGCTCGTACAATTTAAAACTGGGCGAAAAACATTCGTTTGAATGCAAAATCGTTAGCTCTCAAAACTACAATAAAAAATCAAAAGTACGTTTTCAAATGAGTAGTAAAAATAATGTATTTGTAGTTGACGAAGAATTATGGATTTCAAGTCCAAAAATGACCAACGCCATAAAAGGAATTGTTACGAACTTCGACCAGTTCATGAGCGTTGTTGATGTAGAAGTAAATTTTTCAATCGACTTGCCAATTGGGACACCGGCAACTTTAAAAAAGTCATTTGATAAAACCCCTTACACTCGGATGGAAGCGGCACTTGCTACTTTTTCTTACAAGTACGAATCTGTTTCACCTGAAGTAAGATCAATGTTGCTCGGGCGTCAACAACAACATTCATCCGAACGTGACGAAAATCTGACAGATAACAGCCTATTAGCTCCCAATTTACCTGGTTTAAATGAGTCACAGCTGTCTGCTGTGAGCCATGCACTACGCACGCCAGTTTCTCTAATCCAAGGGCCTCCCGGTACTGGAAAAACGGTTACTTGTGCCAATATTGTATACAATCTGTCCAAGTCCGGAACCGTATTAGTTTGCGCACCGTCGAACAACGCTGTTGATAACTTGGCAAGTGCCATGGCCAAAACAGGCATCGATGTCGTGAGACTTGTAAAAAAAACGAAAGAGACGGTTAAAAGTGATCTTTCAAATATATATCTTAGTGAACAAATTAAAAAGCTTGCTGGTCATTCAGAATTTAAAACTCTTCAAGGGCAGATTGATCAAGGTGTCGAGTTGAGCCCAAATGAGAGAAGGGACTACAATTATCTGAGAAGAATGGCGGAAATCGACTGTCTAGCGAATTGTCGAGTGGTGTGCACAACTTGCTCCGGCGCCGGCGACAACCGTTTAGAAAAAATCAATTTTTCTTCGGTGGTCGTGGATGAATGCGCTCAAGGCTTAGAACCGGAATGCATCATTCCAATCACCCACGGAGCCAAAAAAGTGGTGTTAATAGGTGACCACTGTCAGTTGGGGCCGGTTGTTACGTGTCCGGACACTAGAAACGGAGGTCTGCATCGTTCTCTGTTCGAGAGATTGGTAGCTGCTGGCCTACAACC